GAGGTTACCTTAATTTTGGACACGGCTACCTCATTGTCATGTTGGTGAATCCCTATATTCTCTCTATCTCTACCAAATTCCTGTAGTTGGTATAAAGTAGTATGATTTTTTTAAGGCCATCATTTAAATTGTGGGTCTTCTAGAATTACAACAAAGACAATTTTTGAGAATATTCTGCCTCATGACTTACCAATTATTACCTGGCAGATGTTTTAGGCTGAAACTACAGAGATGTATTCAAGGGGAGAAAACAAAACCCAACCTTCAAAAGAGAAGAAAGGAAACAACCCACCCAGCTGAGGGAAAAGGAGTGTGGACAACATTCCCTGGACACAGTCTCTTACACCAGGAAAAAGGGGCTGAGGTCCAAGCTCAAGACGGAGTAGAAAGCTCAGCTATAGGCAGGCTGAGAGGAGTGGGGAGAAAAAAAAAATTCAGATGCTTGCCAAAGCAAACAAATAAACAAACCGAAAACACAGCTTTAAACATTTAATATTGAACAGAACACTGCAGTTTGATAAAATGAAATCTGGAAATAAAATTACAGGCATACCTCAGAAATACTGCAAGTTTGGTTCCAGATCACCACAATAAAGCAAATATTATAGTAAAGCAAGTCACAAAAATTTTTTTGTTTCCTAGTGCATATAAAAGTTATGTTCACACTATACCATAGTCTATTAAGTCTGCAATAGCATTGTGTCTTTTTAAAAAAAAAACACCTTCATTTAAAAGTACTTCATTACTAAAACATGCTAACAATTATCTGAACCTTCAGTAAGCTGTAATCTTTTTGCTAGTGGAGGGTCTTGCCTCCTTGTTGATGGCTGCTGACTAATCAGGGTGGTGGTTGCTGAAGGTTGGGGTGGCTGGGACAATTTCTTAAAGGAAGACAACAACGAAATTTGACATATCAATTAACTGTTCTTTTCACAAAATATTTTTCTGTTGCAAGCAATGATGTTTGATTGCATTTTACCCACAGTAGAACTTCTTTCAAAACTGGAGATAGTCCTCTCAAAACTTGCTGCTGTTTTATCAACTATGTTTATGGAATATGCTAAATTATTTGTTACCATTTCAACAGTGTTCATAGCATCTTCACTAGGAGTAGATTCCATCTCAAGAAACCACTTTCTTTGCTCACCCATAACAAACAGCTCCTTATCCATTCTAGCTTGATCATGACATTGCAGCAATTCAGTCACATCTTTAGGCTTCTCTTCTAGTGCTCTGGGTATTTCCACCACATCTGTGGTTAGTAGATTGGTGCAAAAGTAATTGTGTTGTTTGCCAGTAAAAGTAACAGCAAAACCCACAATTACTTTTGCACTGACTAATACTTCCTCTACTGAAGTCTTGATCCCTTCAAAACCATCCGTGAGGGTTAAAATCAACTTCCAAACTCCTGTTAATATTAATATTTTGACCTCCTCCCATGAATCATGAATGTTCTTAATGGCATCCAGAATGATGAATCCTTTACAGAGGGTTTACTTTGCCCAGATTCATGAGAGGAATAATTTTCTATGGCAACCCATAATCTTACAAAATGTAGTTGTTAAATAATAAGTCATGAAAGTTGAAATTACTCCTTGATCCATGGGCTGCAGAATGGATGTTGTGTTGACATACATGAAAACAACATTCATCTCCTTGTACATCTCCATCAGAGCTTTTTGGTGACCAGAGGTATTATCAATGAGCATTAATATTTTGAAAGGAATCTTGTGAGCAGTAGGTCTCAACCATGAGCTTAAAAGGTAAACCATGCTGTAAACAAATGTACTGCCATCTAGGCTCTGCTGTTCCATTTACAAAGTAGAGGCAGAGTAGATTAACATAATTCTTAACTGCCCTAGGATTTATGGAATGGTAAATGAGGACTGGCTTCAACTTAAAAGTTACCAGCTGCACTAGTTCTTAACTAGAGAGTCATCCTGCTCTTTGAAGATTTGAAATCAGATGCTGACTTGTCCTCTCTACCTAGGAAAGTCCTAGATGGAAATCTTCTTCCAATAGAAGACTGTTTTGTCTACACTGAAAATGTGTTGTTTAAAGTAGCCTCCTTCACCACTGATCTTAGCTAGATCTTCCAAATAACTTGCTGCAGATTCTATATCAGCATGTGCTGCTTTACCTTGTACTTATATGTGATAGAGATGGCTTCCTTTCTTCAAGCTCATGAACCAATCTCAACTAGCTTGAAACTTTTCTTCTGCAGCTTCACCATCTCTCTCAGCCTTCAAAGAATTGAAGGGAGTTTGGGCCTTGCTCTAGATTATGCTTTAGACTTAGCAAATGTTGGGGCTGGTTTGATCTTCTATCCAGATCTTCTATCTAAAACTTTCTCCATAATAGCAATAAGGCTGTTTTGCTTCTTTATCACTTGTGTGTTCACTGGAGTAGCACTCACAATTTCCTTCAAGAACTTCTCAGCCAGGTACGGTGGCTCATGCCTGTAATCCCAGAAATTTGGGAGGCTGAGGAGGGAGGATCACAAGGTCAAGGGATCAAGACCATCCCGGCCAACATGGTGAAACCCTGTCTCTATTAAAAAATACAAAAAATTAGCTGGGTATGGTGGCATGTGTCTATAGTCCCAGGTACTTGGGAGGCTGAGGCAAGAGAATCGCTTGAACCTGGGAGATGGAGGTTGCAGTGAGCCGAGATTGCACCATTGCACTCCAGCCTGGGTGAGAGAGTAAGACTCTGTCTCAGAAAAAAAAAGTACTTCTCATATGCATTCACAACTTGGCTAAATGGCACAACATGCCTAGCTTTTGGTCTGCCTCGGCTTTCAACATACCTTCCTCACTAAGCTTAATCATTTCTAGCTTTAAAGTGAGAGACCTGTGATTGTCCCTTGCACTCAAACACTTAGAGACCACTGAAGGGTTATTAATTGGGCTAATTTCAATATTGTTATGCCTCAGGGAATAAAGAGGGTTGAGGAGAGGAAAAGAGGGGAATGGCTGGTCGGTGGAGTAGTCAGAACACATACAACATTTATTGAGTTCCCTGTCTTATATGGGCACAGTTCATGGCACCCCAAAACAATCACAGCAGTAACATCAAAGATCACTGGTCACAGGTCACCATAACAGATATAATAATAATGATGAAAAAGTTTGAAATATTGAGAGAATTGCTAAAATGTGACACAGATATAAAGTGAGTACCTGCTGTTGGAAAAATGGCACCAATAGACTTGCTGGATACAAGGTTGCCACAAACCTTCACTTTGTAAAAAAAAAAAAAAAACCAAAGTGTGATAAAGCAAAGCACAATAAAACAAGGTATGCCTGCACTTTTTTCTATGAACCCCTTAACATGTGACATAAGAGCTCACTAAAGACTGATTTAATTCTTCAGAATTGACATGTGGAACTTAGACGGCTGGACGAGGTGGCTCATGCCTGTAATCCCAGCACTTTGGGAGGCCGAGGCAGGCAGATCACAAGGTCAAGAGATCGAGACCAGCCTGGGCAACACAGTAAAACCCTTTCTCTTCTAAAATACAAAAAACTAGCTGGGCGTGGTGGGGCACGCCTGTAATCCCAGCTACCTGGGAGACTGAGGTGGGAGAATCGCTTGAACCCAGGAGGCAGAGGTTGCAGTGAGCCAAGATTGCACCACTGCACTCCAGCCTGAGCAACAGAGTGAGACTCCATTTCCAAAAAAAAAAAAAAAAAAAGGAACTTAGATTGTAGGCCTTAGCTAAAGAAAACAGCCCAGCTTCAGGGGCTTTTTAACTTTTTTTGGACAGAAGAGTTTTCTTTGGCTACTATTTTTACTTTGATAGCTATAGTCACAAAGCCATCTCTTTTTCCACCTGTTTTAAAATTGTCTTATTCTAGGTTTCGCTTCACTGACAGAGACCTAGCCAAAGAGATCAGCTTTTGAATATGATCATTCTTGACTTTCAGTTCTGTATTCTGTGCCCCTCTCCTCAAACTATGTCTCTCAGTTCTTCTCACTTGCTTCATTAAAATATTTATACCTATTACTCTATTTTTAAAAACAACACTTTTGATATGTTCCTCCCTCACAGAAAAAAAATGTGGCTGCCTCAAATACTTTACCAGGAATCACCCAGTTTTTATTACAGGAGCTTAAATAAAATTGGTATTATGATGGCTTCTGTATGGGAAATGTGCCATTTTTAGAGTACTGGCCACAGAAACTGACCTAGGAAGGGCTTGCTAAAGGAGAAGGGTGTGCCTGTGGAAAGTTCACGGCAGAGGACGTTTGACTCCTCTTAAGGTATGAAGAGGAAGACTGGCTAGTCTCAAGAAACTTCTGACTCAATAGGAGAAAGCTATCAAATTTCCCGAAACTCCGATTTTGGTTATCACATCACAGAGGTGGTGAGTAGCTGCTGAGTGTGAAACCCACATCCCATTTCTGGGGAGAACTATGTAGTTGGTTCCTTCAACATAAAATATCAGAATCTGCATCCTGACACCCATAAGAAACCTCTCCCACCTCTCTCCTACTAACCTTTTCTTTATTTTCAATTTACGACACACAGTTTTGTTTCCCACAAGTACTGTGCAACCAGAGACACACACACACTCACACATACATATATATTTCAGATATATATATATATATATATATATATATATATATCTGTTTGGAGAGCAGGGAACGAGGGAGCCAAGGCCTGTTTGTACTCACAACCTCGCTTAACTGTGCTGGGGTGACTGGAGCTTTGACCACAGAGGAGGAGCCCGCTGGCAGCGCCAACCGGCTGAACTGTGAGCCTTTTCACAAAGGCCGAGGAACTGGGGTTAGCCACACTACAACCCTCCCACCTGAGGGAAAGGCCTGTTTGTTCCGGAAGGCACAGCCCAGCCTTATTTAACTAACTGGAAGCAGTTAATACAAGCATTCCCAAGGCAGCAAGCAAGCTCTAGTCTAGGACAGTAAAGCCATCGACTTCAGGAGGATTTCTCCAGAGTGGCATCCTGAAAGATGCAGCCCAGACTCCTCACCTGGCGGTTAACCTGAAAACACCTGATCCTCTCTCCGGAATCCTCGCCTGGGGAAAACGGTAAGGCTGCCGGGCCACGCCTCCTCCTTCAAAACTTTCCATGGGTCTCGGGATTCGGAGCAGGAAAAAGCGTTCACAGCAGACTCATTCCGCCCTAGCCGGAACGCGTCCGCTGAAGTTGGAGCCCTTCTAAGCGGGTCCCCCTTCTCTTACCCTTCCTACCGGCAGTGCAGTGCGTGCAGACCCCGGCCCGAGGGCAGGCGCGGCTGAGGAGGGCTGCAGCGGGCTGCGGCGGGCCCTGCTCGGGCGGCTGAAAGGCTGCTCTGTACGCTCCGGACAGGATGCGGCGCGTGGCCAGGCGCTCCCGCCCCGCCCCCAAGGCGCCGCCCCGCCCCGCCCCGCCGCCTCCCACCCAGAACTGCAGCTTTCCCACTTGGGGCCCTTATTCGACCCGTCAGCTGACCAGTCTTCCCGAGCCCCGGGAGACTGGGGGCGGTGACGAGGAGGCGGGGTGGGGGCCGTAGGGAATGGAACCAAGGAGCGCGCGCGCGCTGTAAGAGCCAAGGAAGTAAGCAGTCCCGAAAGGGGCCGCGATGGGGCCCCCAGCGAGGCGTGGGGCGTACCAATGGGAGACCTGGGGCACTGAGCTGTGGTGCCGCCCCAGGACAGGTCCAAGGCGCAGTTCCACACCGGCAGGTCCAGCGCCTCCATGCCTTGAGGCATGGCGCGGCCCGGGAGCTGCAGGATGACGCCGAGCATGGGACGGCTGCACCTGTCTGGGCACCAACCCGCAGCCCCTGCGCTCTCCTACCAAGGGCCCAGCTAGGCGGTGCGGCCCGCTTTGGGTTGGAGTGTCTGCGGGAGAAGCGCCTTGCAGAGGGATCCCGACGGTGGGCGCTAAGACCAAGCGGCCCACGCACCCTCCGCACCGGCCCCGGGCTGCGGCACCCGGCACTCGTGGCCCTCTGGGGGGATCCTGTCTTTTTTTGTTTGTTTTTGTGGGGCTTTTTGTTTGTTTGTTTGTTTTGGTTTTTTTAGACGGAGTCTCACTCTGTCTCCCAGGCTGGAGGGCAGAGCTGCGATCATGGATCAATGCAACCTTGAACTCCTGGACTCAAGCGATCCTCCTGCCTCGGCCTCCCAAAGTGCTAGGATTACAGGTGTAAGCCACTGCGCCTGGCCCTTTCTTTTCTTCATTCTTTCATGCATTCATTTCTTGTTTCTACATGCATTTATTTTTCTGTTTCTTTAGTCATTCTTGTTTTGATGCTTAGGGAAACACTGAGCGCCAAGCCGACTGCTGGGTGCTGTGGTAGCTGGGATGAGAAAGATATGGTCCTTTCCCTCCAGGACGTCACATTAAACTGACAAGTTCATTCGGACAAGTTTATTCATTCTGGCTTTTCTTTAAAGTGCACGATCACGAAAGTCTGTGACAAGGGTCATATTTCTGAGATGCTGGAAAGTGCGGCGAGCGCTCGAGGAATAGGAAAAGCGAGGTCCCTGAGCTCGCATCGGAAGGCACTGAGGGAGCCGGGAGCCAGCGTCCGCATCTCCCGGCCGGCAGGGAGGGAGGGCGCCCGGCCCCACCGCTGGACTCGCAACCCCAGCGCCCTGCTGCGGCCGCCGCTGCTCTTCTCTCTTAGTGCACGAAAGGAAGACGCCTGTGAGAAACCGAACAGACAATCGGTCGTGAATCTTAAAGATGAGAGTCGGCGGTGCATGACCAAAAGGGGTGTTCGGCTACTAGTCCTGTCGGCTTGATAGTTCGGACGTGACCGACGGCCTCCTAGAGTTCGTACCCCTCCTCTTCACCAGGTAGCAGCAGCAAAGCCCGAAGTGCCAGGTTCTGTGAGTCAGCAAGCGTTTAAAAGATCTCTGGGTTTAGCTCAGGCAAAGAATATTCTGCCAGATAATTATCTTAATATGTGTGTCCAGGAAGAAGTAGTTGGACAGGCGATGTATATAAAAGCATACATGATTGACCCTCTTTTAAGTCACTTCCGAAGGATTATTAGGCAAAAATGCCTTTTTGAGCCGTTTTCATCAGAGGTGCGCAATCATCCAGCTTGTGGATAGCCACTGCATTCCAGCCTGCACAACATAGTGACTTGTTCCATGGAAGACCATTTTTGCACAGACAGGGGATTTGGGGAGGATGTTTTGGGGATGAAACTGTTCCACCTCAGATCAGTAGGCATTAGAGGGATTATAAAGGAGCACACATCCTGCAACCTAGATTCCTCCCATGCACAGTTCACAGTAAGGCTCCTGCTCCTATGAGAATCTAACGGAACCGCTGCTCTCTTGCTCAGTGCTCACCTCCTGCAGTGCGGCTTGGTTCTTAGCAGGCCACAGACCTGTACCAGTCTGCAGCCTGGGGTTTGGGAACCCCTGCAGAGAGATAAATAGTTTCAAAAGGGAGGTCTGGGGATCTCAAACTTTAATGTGTACATGAGTCACCAGAGTTTTTATTGAAGCAGACTGATTCAGTAGGACCTGAGGTTTTGCATTTCTAGCAAGAAGTTGCTGCTGCTGCTGCTGCTGCTGCTGGTCCCACTCTGTAAGTAGCACTGTTCTAACAAATATTTAATCTGAGTGTGTGCGGAAATTGAGGGTGGAGAAGAAGGGAAAAGAGTGAGAGTGGAAAATTACTGGAGTCAGATGGCTGAAGGATTTATTATAAATATAACACATACTAAAGTTTTCAGCCATCTAATTATTCTTACTTAGAAAATTTAGTTCACAGTAGGCATTAAGTTTTTAGCTTTCAAAAAGTCACTTGTTTATGGTAAAGATCGTGGCTCATTTTTCAGTGGGCAGTAATGGACATTGTTTTGTGCTGTGTTAATCCTTTCAAGCATCTGTGCTCTGTTCTGTATATCATAGCACAAAAAGCTTTGTACCCTGATTCAAATTTGATCCAAATAACACAAGAATCTTTTGCTCAACAGTGTTTTATAATATGGCATTTTAAATTTACAACCTAAAGATCTTGAATTTCTCTAGCAGTTTGTCTTCATGTGGAAGTTTCACTGACTTAGTGTTAAACGAGAATTTTTTTTAAGTAGCCTAGAAAATGTGAGATAGGCCGGGCATGGTGGCTCACACCTGTAATCCCAGTACTTTGGGAGGCCAAGGAGTGCCAGACTAGCCTGAGCAACATAGTGAAACCCTGTCTCTACCAAAAATACAAAAATTAGCTGGGCATGGTGGCCCACGCCTGTGGTTCTAGCTGCTTGGGAGGCTGAGGTGGAAGGATTGCCTGAACCTGGGAGGTTGAGATCACAGTGAGCCAAGATTGCACCACTACATTCCAGCCTGGGCAACAGAGACCCAGTCTCAAAAAAATAAATAAATAAATATAAATAAATAAATAAACAACAACAACAAAGGAAAGAAAAGAAAATGTGAAACAGGCTAACAGTAAAAATGCAACAATTTTAACAATTTTCTAGGATGCACAGGCAAAAACAATGTTTATTGTGAAGAATATGGGGAGAGAAAATAGAATAAAATAGGAGAAAAATGATGCCCTTTATTTACCTACTTTCACATCCTTTCCAAAATTTTTTGATGTGCAAGTAGTGTTCTGTATGTTGTGGATATTAATTCTTTGCCAGTTTTAAACATTGTAAGTATTTTCTTCCAGTTGTCATCTATCTCCTTTTCCACTGTGTTTTTCCTTGGATGAAAGTCCTTAATTTTGATATATGATGTCAATATTAAGTATATTAATCCTTATAGTTTGTGCTTTTATGATCTTCTTAAAGAAGCTGTTCTCTACCCTTAATTCACCATTCTTCTGCATTTTCTGTAATAGTTTTATCCTTCATATCAAATTCCATTGTACTTTAACTTTGCATATGGTGGGAGATATTAATGGACCTCAATTTTTCTACATCAAGTAAGCCAGTTTTCAGCAAGTTATCTTATAATTCAGGGTTGGCTTGTTTTTTTCTGCATAAAGTCAGATATAAATATGTAGGCTTTGTGCATTGTATGGTCTACTTTACAACTATTTAACTCTGTAGTGTAAAGATAATTGTACATAATATATAAAGAAGAGAGTGTCTGTGTTCTGTGTATTGGGAAATATTTATTCTTTAATTTTTAAAAAAATAGACTATTTTTAGAGCAGTTTTAGGTTTATTGCAAAATTGAGCAGAAAGTAAAAAGTTCCTATATGTTCCCTGCTCCCACATATGCATAGCCTCTCCCACTCTGTTAACATCCTATGCCAGAGTAGTACATTTGTTATAATTGATGAATATACATTGACAAATCATCACCCAAAATCCCTACTTTAGGGTTCACTCTTATGTGCAGGCTGTAAGTTTTGACAAACGTATAATGACATGATCTACCACCATAGTATCACACAGAATAGTTTGACTGCCTGCTGTGGACTAAATGTTTGCCCCTACTTTACCAATCACCCCATCCTCACAAAAATTTATATGTTGCAACCTAAATCCCCAATGTGATGATATTTGGAGATGGGGCATTTGGGAGGTAATTAGGTCTTGAGAGTCAAGCTATCATGAATTCAATTAGTACCCCAGTGCCCATATAAGAAAAGATAGGAGACAGGTGATTTCTCTCTCTCTCCACCATGTGAGAATATAATGAGAAAATAGCTGTCTGCAAACTAGGAAGTGCACCCTCACCAGATACCAGTTGTGCTAGCACCTTGATCTTGGATTCCCTGACCTCTAGAACTATGAGAAATCAATTTCTGTTGCCTAAGCTAACCGGTCTGTAGTATTCTGTAATAGCAGCCCAAACTGATGAAAATACTACTGTAATAATCCTCTGTGCTGCATCTATACATCCCTCCCCACAACCCTTGTCGACCACTCATTTTTTTACTGTTACAAGTTTTTCCTTTTCAGATTGTCATATAATTGGAATCATACAGTATGTAGCCTTTTCAGATTGGCTTTTTTCTCTTTTTTTGAGATGGAGTCTCGATCTGTTGCCAGGCTGGAGTGTTGGCATGATCTCAGCTCACTGTAACCTCCACTTCCCAGGTTCAAGCGATTCTCCTGCCTCAGTCTCCCAAGTAGCTGGGAGTACAGGTATGTGCCACCACACCCAGCTATTTTTTGTATTTTTAGTAGAGACGGGGTTTCACCATGTTGGACAGGATGATCTTGATCTCTTGACCTTGTGATCCACCCACTTCAGCTTCCCAAAGTGCTGGGATTACAGGTGTGAGCCACCACACCAGTCCTGGCTTTTTTCATTTAGTAATATGCATTCAAGCTTCCTCTTTGTCTTCACATGACTTGATAGCTCAATTCTTTTTAGCACTGAATAATGTTCCATTGAATGGATATATCACAATGTATTTATTCATTCATCTACTAAAGGACATTTTTGGTTTTTTCCCGTTTTAATTTATAAATAAAGCAATTATAAATAAAGCTGTTATCAATATCTGTATGCAGGTTTTTGTGTAGATAAGTTTTCAATTCCTTTTTTTTAAATACCAAGGAGTACAATTCCTGCATTGTATGGGAAGAGCATAGCTTTGTAAAAAACTGCTGATCTTCCAAAGTGGCTGTATTATTTTACATTTGTACCAGCAATGAATGAGAGTTCCTCTTGCTCCACATACTTGCCAGTATTTGGAATTATCAGTATTACCGGTTTTGGCCATTCTAATAGGTGTGTAGTGGTATCTTGTTGTTTTAATTTGCAATTCCCTAATGACATATGGTGCTGAGTGTGTTTTCATATACTTATTTTTCATCTGTATGTCTTCTTTACTGTGGTATCTCATCAGGTCTTTTTCTGATTTTTTAATGGGGTTGTCTATTTTCTTATTGTTGAGTTTTAAGAGTTCTTTAGGCTGGGCACAGTGGCTCATGCCAGTAATCTCAACACTGGGAGGCAGAGGTGGGAGGATCACTTGAGGCCAGTAGTTCAACAGTAGCCTGGGCAAGAAAGACAGATCCTCTTTCCATGAAAGAAATTTTTTTTTTAATTAGCTGGGTTTGGTGGTATGCACCTGTGGTCCTAGCTACTCAGTAGGTTGAGGTGGGAGGATTGCTTGAACCCAGGAGTTCAAGGCTGCAGTCCAGCCTGGGCAATAGAGCAAAACCTCATCTCAAAAACAAAAATATATGAGTTCTTTATATATTTTGAATAACAATACTTTTTCAGATATGTCTTTTGCAAGTATTTTTCTCCCAGTCTGCAGCTTGTCTTCTCTTTCTCTTGATGATATCTTTTACAGAGCAGAAGTTTTTAATTATAATAAAGACCAGTGTATCAATTATTTATTTCATGGATTGTGCTTTCAGTGATGTATTTAAAAAGTCTCCAGGAAAAAAAAATGGCAGATAGGAGGCATGACTAACTTAGAGCTCCCACTGAGATGAACAGAACAGTATGTGGAGACATTATGAGCTTTTGCTTGAAGAACTACCACAGGAACATACCAAGAACACTGAAAAAATTCACAGACCCTTTGAAAATGTGACCTGTGGCTACAAACTCTAAGACAGCTGAAAAATGTTGAGTGTGAAGGGGGAAAGTCTACCACCCAACACACATCCTCACTGAGGAACCTGAAAACTCAGATCATGGGAGAGGGATTTCACCTTACCTAGAGCTGAAATGAATTTAGAGAACTGAGCAAAATGTAAAAGTAGATGCAGCAGCGGAAAGAGCCCTGTAGGTACTCCCAGTCACCAGAGAAGCCATTTCTGACTTTTTATCTCACTGGGGTCCTTCGAGAGGGCTGCCAATGGAATTGGGGAAGGACCACACAGAGAAGGAAATTTACAGATGAGCTTTGTAATAATTTTGACCAACTGTGAATTTTCCTGTGCAGAATTCAGGGGAGGGAGATGAATGGAAAGTGCAGACAGGGAACAGAAGCAGTGGCAGGCTGGGAGGGGTGGGGCCTAAAAGCCCTGCTTGCTTTCTCATGGGGAGGCTTGCAGCCTGGGGGGAATCTCGGCCCTGATCACTGGCTGCCAGGATAAAAACTTGGTGTTGTCGGGGGTGGGGAGGCACAAAGGGAGTGAGACTGGGCTTGCTGGCTGCAGAAGGGTTGAGTGAGGCCTGTCACTGCAGACTTTCCCCCATTTCCCTGGTGACCTACATGATGCATCAGAGGCAGCCATAATCCCCCTGGGAACATAACTCCATTGTCCTGAGAACCACATCTCCATCCCCGACAGCTGCTGCAGCAAGCCCCACCCAAGAAGTCTAAGCTGGGACATCCCTAACCTTCCTCCTACCTGATGGTCTTTATCTACCTGCCCTGATAGCCAAAGACAAAAGACTTAATCTCTTGGTGGCTCTATGGCCCCACACATCACCTGAGAAAACAAAATACTTAGGCAGGCGATCTTAGGGCAAGTGTGTATCCCCATTATACTACCACAGCTGATGCGCTCTTGAAAGCATCACCTCCTGGCTGGAGCCCAACCAACTCAGGCCATTACAGCAACTTATAAAATAACAACCCTGCTACAAGAAAGGAGAAAACAACAGCTAATTCCACTTCCTGTAACATCCTGGCAAACCAGAGATTTGAGTCTGTCCATGTGACAGTTTTACTGCTAGCACAACCAGCATTTGAGAAAACCAGTGCATGAAACAAAACTACAACCAAGGACCCTCAAAGAGTCCACTTCACTCCTATGCTACGTCCACTGGAACAGGTGCTGGTATCCATGGCTGAGAGACTTGAAGACAGATCACATCACAGGACTCTTTGGAGACCCTCCCCAGTACCAGCCCAAGCTCCATTAGGTGGCTAGACCCACAACAGTAATAACAATCACTATCCAGCTCTCAGGAAGCCCCATCCCTAGAGGAAGGGGGAGAGCACCACATCAAGGTATCACCCCATAGGATAAAATAATCTGAACAGCAGCCCTTGAGCCCCAAATCTTTCTTCTGACATAGTCTAACCAAAAGAGAAGGAACCAGAAAAACAATTCCGGTAATGCGACAAAGGAAGTTCTTCAATACTCTCAAAAGATCACACTAGCTCACCAGCAATGGATCCAAACCATGAAGAAATATCTGAATTGCCAGAGAAAGAATTCAGAAGGTCAGTTTTTAACCTATTCAAGGAGGCACCGGAAAAAGTGAAAACCAACTTAAAGAAATTTTAAAAATCATACAGGATATGGACAAAAAAAAAATCTCCAGAGAAATAACACAAATAAAAAACAATCACAACTTCTGGAAATGAAAGACAGACTTAGAGAAATGCAAGATACACTGGTAAGTTTCAACAATAGAATTGAACACCTAGAAGAAAGAACTTCAGAGATCAAAGACATTGCTTTCAAATTAACCCAATTAACCCAGACAAAGAAAAAATGATTAAAAAATGAACAAAGCTTCCAAGAAGTTTGGGATTATGTTAAACAACCAAACCTAAGAATAATTGGTCTTCCTGAGAAAGAAGAGAAATCTAAAAGTTTGGAAAACTTATTTGAGGCAATAATTAACTAAATTTTCCCGGACTTGCTAGAGATCTAGATATCCAGATGCTCAAAGGACACCAGGAAATTTATCACAAAAACATCATCAACTAGGCACATAGTCATCAGGTTATTCAAAGTCAGGATGAAAGAAAGAATCTTCAATTCTTCTTAGGTTTGGTTGTTTAACATAATCCACGTAATTGGAAGTAAATCACTCCTCAGCAAATGTAAAAGAACAGAAATCATAACAAACAATCTCTCAGACCACAGTGCGATCAAATTAGAACTCAGAATTAAGAAACTCACTCAGAACTGCACAACTTCATGGAAACCGAACAACTGGCTCCTGAATGTCGACTGGATAACGAAATAAAGGCAGAAATAAAGATGTTCTGTGAAACCAACGAGAATGAAGACACAACATACCAGAATCTCTGGGACACATTTAAAGCAGTGGCTAAAGGGAAATTTGTAGCAATAAATGCCCACCAGAGAAGTGAGGAAAGATCTAAAATCGACACCCTATAGTCAAAATTGAAAGAGCTAGAGGAGCAAGATCAAAAAAACTCAACAGCTAGCAGAAGACAGGAAATAACTAAGATCAGAGCAGAAATGAAGGAAATAGAGACACAAAAAACCTTCAAAAATTAATAAATCCAGGAGCTGGTTTTTTGAAAAGATCAACAAAATAGATTAATAAAAACGAAAAGGGAGAAGAATCAAATAGATGCAATAAAAAACAATAAAGGGGATATCACCACTGACTCCACAGAAATACAAACTACCATCAGAGATTACTACAAACAACTCTATGCATATAAACCAGTAAACCTGGAAGAAATGGATAAATTCCTGGATGCTTGCACCCTCCCAAGCCTAAACCAGGAAGAAGTTGGAACCTTGAACAGACCAATAACAAGGGCTGAAGTTGAGGCAGCAATTAATAGCCCACCAACCAAAAAAAGTCCAGGTCCAGACGGGCTGACAGCTGAATTCTACCAGACATGCAAAGAGGAGCTGATACCTTTCCTTCTGAAACTATTCTAAACAATACAAAAGGAGGGAATCCTTCCCAAATCATTTTACGAGACCAACATCATCCTGATACCAAAACCTGGCAGAGACTCAACAAAAAAAAGAAACCTTCAGGCCAATAACCATGATGAACATAGATGCAAAAATCTTCAATAAAATACTGGCAAACCAACTGCAACAGCACATCAAAAAGTTTATCCATCACGATCAAGTAGGCTTCATCCCAGGCTGGTTCAACATATGCAAATCTATAAACGTAATCCACCACATAAACAGAATCAAAGACAAAAACCACATGATTATCTCAATAGATGCAGAGAAGGCCTTCAACAAAATTCAACAGCCCTTTATGCTAAAGACTCTCACTAAACTAGGTATCAAAGGAATGTATCTCAAAACAATAAAAGCTATTTATGACAAACCTAGAGCCAATATCATACTGAATGGGCAAAAACTGGACTCATTCCCTTTGAAATCTGGCACTAGACAAGGATGCCCTCTCTCACCACTCCTATTCAATATAGTATTGGAAGTTCTAGCCAGAGCAATTAGGCAAGAATAAAAAATAAAGGGTATTCAATTAGGAAAAAAGGAATTCAAATTGTCTCTATTCGCAGATGACATGATTGTATATTTAGAAGACCCTATTGTCTCAGCCCAAAATCTCCTTAAACTGATAAGCAACTTCAGCAAAGTCTCAGGATACAAAATCAATTTGCAGAAATCACAAGCATTTCTATGCACCAATAACAGACTGAGAGCCAAATCATGAGCAAACTCCCATTCACAGTTGCTACAAAGAGAATAAAATATCTAGGAATACAACTAATAAAGAATGTAAAAGACCTCTTTAAGGAGAACGACAAACCTCTGCTCAAGGAAATAAGAGAGGACACAAACAAATGGAGAATCATTCCAAGCTCATGGTTAGGAAGAATCAATATTGTGAAAGTGACCATACTGCCCAAAGTAACTTATAGATTCAATGCATAGTTTTGTTAATTCCTTTTGTAGTTGATTTCCAATTTTATTCCAATGTGGTCTGAGAGAGTACTTGATACAATTTCAGTTTTCTTAAATTTATTGAGACTTGTTTAGTTGTCTATCATATGATCTTGGGGAATGTTCCATGTGCTGATGAAAATGTATATTCTGCAATTGTTGCATAGTTTGTGAAGATTTTCTCCCACTCTGTGGGTTGTCTGTTTACTCTGCTGATTGTTTCTTTCACTGTGCAGAACCATAAAAATTCTAGAAGATAACATTGGAAAAATGCTTCTAGGCATTGGCTTAGGCAAAGACTTCCTGACCAAGAACCCAAAAACAAATGCAACAAAAACAAAGATAAATAGATGGGACTTAATCAAACTAAGAAGCTTCTGCACTCTCAGGCTGGAGTGCAGTAGCGTGATCTCAGCTCACTGCAACCTCTGCCTCCCGGATTCAAGTTATTCTTCCACCTCAGCCTCACAAGTAGCTGGGATTACAGGCACATGCCACCAAGCCCGGCTAATGTTTTTTGTATTTTTAGTAGGGACTGGGTTTTGCCATTTTGACCAGGCTGGTCTTGAACTCCTGACCTCAACTGATCCACTCACCTCAGCCTCCCAGAGTGCTGGGTTACGGGCGTGAGCCACTGCGCTCAGTCCAAATTCCTTAAAGAACTAAAAGTAGATCTGCCATTTGACTCAGCAATCCCATTATCCATTACTGGGTAGGAAAAGAAGTCATTATACAAAAAAGGATGAAAAGAAGTCATTATACAAAAATGACCAGAGGATAAGAAGTCATTACACAAAAAAGGCACTTGCACATGCATGTTTATAGCAGAACAATTCACAATTGCAAAAATATGGAATCAACTCAAATGTCCATCAATCAAGGATTGGATAAATTGCCCATCAATCGAGTGGATTAGAAAAAAGTGATATCCGCTGGGCTAATTTTTTGTATTTTTAGTAGAGATGGGGTTTCACTGTATTAGCCAGGATGGTCTCCATCTCCTGACCTTGTGATTCGCCCACCTCAGCCTCCCAAAGTGCTGGGATTACAGGTATGAGCCACCGTGCCTGGCCAATTACTGTAGTTTTATAGTAAGTCTTCACACTAGGCAGTTCCTTTTTTTAAATTTTTTAAAAATTTTGTTCTTTTCCTTCAATATTGTCTATTCTGGGTCTTTGGACTCTCCATATAAACTCTAAAATCAATTGTTTGATATCCACAAAAGAACTCCCTTGGATCTTAATTGGGGTTGTGTTGATCTATAGATCAAGTTGGGAAGAACTGACATCTTGACAATATTGAGCCTGCTTTTTCAAAAGGCTCAATATTGTCAAGATGTCAGTTCTTCCCAACTTGAAATATCCCTCCACTTATTTAGTTCTTTGATTTCTTTCATCAGAGTTTTACAGTTTTTTTTTCATATAGAACTTCTACATGTTAGATTTATAGCCAAGTATTTCATTTTTGGGGATACTTCTATAAATGGTATTGTGTTTTTAATTTCAAATTCTTATTGTTCATTGCTGATAGACAAGAAAGTGATTGATTTTGTATATTAACCTTGTATCCTACAATCTTGTTATAATTACTTATTAGTTCGTTTTTTTTTAATTCTTTCAGATTTCCTACATAGACAATCATGTCATCTCAAAGAGTTTTATTTCTTCTGTCCCAATCTGAATATCTTTTATTTCCTTGTCATATTTTATTGCATTAGCTAGAACTTCTAATGTGATGTTGAAAAGGAGTGTTAAGAGTGGACATGTTGAAAAGGAGTGTTAAGAGGGGCCATCCTTGCCTTGTCCTTGATCTTTGCATGAAAACGTCTTACGTTTCTCACCATTAAGTACGATGTTAACTCTAGTTTTTTTGTTTTTGTTTTGTAGATGTTCTTCATCAAGTTGAAGATGTTCCCCCCCCACCTTTTTTTTTTTTTTTTTTTTTGGTTTGCTGAAGGCTTTTTCATGAATGGATGTTGGATTTTTAAAAAGTGCTTTTTGTGTATTTATTGATATAACCACGTGATATATTTTCTTCAGCCTGTTGATGTGATGGAGTACATTAATTGAGCTTTGAATGTTGAATCAGCCTTGCTGCCTAGAATAAATCCCACTTGCTTGTAATATACAATTTTTCTCAAACGTTGTTGAATTTGATTTACTAATTTTTTGTTGAGAATTTTTGTTCATAAGAGATGTTGGCCTTTAGTTTTCTTTTTTTAGAATTTCTCTCTGGTTTTGATACTAAG